AAAGACCCTATTAAAAAATTCCTGTTTGTTAGTGGTTAGATTATTCATGAAAGAATTCACCTAAATCTCTATTCACAGTAGCTCCATTCAAGCCCATGTTGCTTTGATTACGGTACTTAGGTACATGGTAGTATTTCAAAAGGCTCCCTTTGTCTGAGACATTCCTTTCATCCATTAAACTTGCTTGCTTGCCAAAGAAAGAAACTTCATAGCAAAGTATGCTGGTTGCTAGCAATCACCTTATTTCCAGTATGTGTCTTACTCCAACAACAACCAATGTTATTATGCATTCCCCTATTCACAGAGCAGCAGAAAGTTCTATGGCCTGCACTGCTGTGTTAATTGACTTTGATGAGGGAGCCCTGGAGATTAAGGACTGTATCCAACACTGCAGTTCTGTTCGTGTAACAGACTTCTGTGTGTTCAGTGGAACTTCCCCTTCTTCTCCTGCCACCTGTAGCTATCTGTGCAGCCTCAAAACCTGCTCCAGAAGGTTGGGAGACCCTCCACAGCAGATATTTTTTTTTTTTGGGGGGGGGTAATTGCAGGGGGAGAAGAGGAAGTTCTGTTGTGTGAGCAGAAATCCTCTTGCACAGTGCTGGATAGAGTCCTTTGGATGTTTTTGTAATATTTGCTTTATATGAGCAAAGGATAAGTGGAGGCAAACAGGAGCTCACACAAGACCGAAGATTCCCCCAGAGGGAAACTTGTTCCCCCCTACTCCACTTTACTATCCCAGTTTTCCTTTCTTAATAATAATAATAATAATAATGATGATGATAAATTTTTATTTGTACCCCACCCTCCCTGGCCGAGGCCAGGCTCAGAGCGGTTAACATCCTAAAAACAACACAATATGCATAAAAACAGACACCAATCATTTAAAATATATCTTAAAATTAATTCAGACAAGTTAAAATCTGGGCAGGTGGCAATTATCAGGATGGAATTGAGAGTGGTTAATACTTGCCAGGACCAACTTTCCACTGATCATACAAGGCCCTGTGAGCAGGCTGGGGGCCTCCTTCAGGCTTGTTTTATACACCTGCCACTGCTGTCTGTTGGCCTGTCTTTCACTTCCATGCACAAATATACCCTTTACAAACTCTGGTGGGCATCTCAGTTTTAAAAACAAGAGAGAAATCAGCAATGGGAGACTGCACTGTTTTCTAGATATTTGCCTGACAAAGTTAACAGTCAGTCATCATTCTTACCATAACAATAAGTAAATCTGGCCTCTGTAATATACAAGCTCTCTCTCCTCCTTTTCCTTCTGGTCTGGCCTCTCAATGATATGTTTGCACTATATTTGCCCTTTTGGGACACCACCTGTTTCACAGATTCACAGCATATATAGTTCCGGACAGTGCCGCTGGGTGCCAGGCTGTTTGCAGCCTAGGTAACTACTTGCACACACACCCAATGGCTAACTTCAATTTTCAACAAAACAGATGTATTGTAGAAAAAATGTAAAGTGCAAAACTGCCTAACTTATTTTAAATTGCAAGAATAAGTAATACAACAATCCTTGAATTATCTTTCTCAAATACAAAAGAAAACGTTTTAGCCACACCAAATCATTTGGAATAGTCTTGTGAATTGTGATGTTAAAAATGCAAGTCTCTTCAAAGTTTCAATTTCGGGGCACATCAAAATCTCCCTTTGCATGCCCTTTTCCTTTGCAAATGTTGTTACTTCAGGTCAAGTGTTTGCAGCTTGAGCATGTTTCCCCCCCCCCTTCTTCTTTTTTTCAAATCCTTTATTACGTATTTTATTCTACACAACATGCATTGTTTACAAACAAACAACTCCAAAATAAACAGACAACTCCAAAATAAATCAGATGTACAAAACCATAAGTCTCATGTTTTCAAGTCATATAGGTTGCCAGCCAACTACTCTCTTTTGCAATGTTGTGAGCTCGTGTAAGTTTCTGTAAGTTTGAGCTTTGAGAAACTATGTACAAAATAAAAACAAAAATAAAATACTATCAGAAATTTATAAGATCTATAACAAAAACTAATCTGTATTAAAAGTGTCAGAACTGCACCCATCTCAGGTCTGTGCCCTAGTGGTTGCCTAGTTGGCCTAATGACAGCACTGGCCCTGTTCTGGGTGTCAGGACCCAAGTGTTTGTTTCATCAGTCTGGAATTAATTCCTGTTGGCTAAATGCTTTTGTGGTCTAGCCTGATTCACTCCATCTTGCCTTATCCATTTTTGTAGCTACTTCAGTGTACAATGCATTCTTCTCCTTATTTAGTTGTTCCCTACAAGTGCCTTCTGAATCATGAATATTTCTAGTAATGACAAGCAGCAGCAGCAGTGAGGGAGTGGGAGCTTGCACAGGCTGCGTGAAGAAACTGGGGAAGAAGGAGGGAGTGGTGAGGAGGGAGCCCAGGGCCGGGTCTGAAAATGCAAAGGGTATGTTGCAAAAAGAACAGAACCTGATGCTCTTGTGCTTTTGGTTGGAGGTGGACAGAAATTGCAAACAGGGTTGAATGCAGAAAGGTTTGGAGTGAGCAGCAGGTGGAGCTGCAGGGCAGGCACAGCAAGGGCTCAAGCCATTGATCAGGTAGCCAGACTGTGGCGGTTTGCTAGAAAGACTTGAGGAATCGGGCCAATGAAGAGCAAGCAATTAGCCAGTCTGCCTCTGGGCAGAGCCTCCAGGGTTGGGAAAAGTGGCACAGTCCCATTTTGGAAGCCTATCATCCACTGACTCATGTAATCTATATTGAACTTGCAAAGGAAAGCATCGCATACTGAGGCCAGACCAGATCTAACTGACTATTATTTACTCTGATGGGCAGCAGTTCTCCAGGATTTCAGACAGGAGGCTTTTCCAACCCTGGCTGGGAAAATGCCAGTAATTGACCATTTTGCTCACTTTACTACTGAGCAAGGTCCCTTCCCTTGTATCACTTCAAACTATAGGTGAGAGATTGAATGTTTCAGTACTTTCCCATATCAAAAGCTCAGTGCACGCACAAAATTAGCATATAGTCGTACCTTGGTTTTTGAACAGCTTAGTTCTCAAACGTTTTGGTTCCGGTTTGCAAGCTATTTTTGGAAGCTGAATGTTTGTCGGGGGCTTCTGTGGCTTCCGATTGGCTGCGGGAGCTTCCTGCAGCCAATCAGAAGCCGCGCTTTGGTTTCCAAATGTTTTGGAAGTCAAACGGACTTCCAGAATGGATTCTGTTCAACTTCCAAAGTACAACTGTATTGGGAAGAGGGGTTCTGGTATATGCTGATCATGTGGTTTGACTTGGAATAAGGATGCTTGACAAATTAGAGATCTGTGAATTCTGTTGCCCCTCTTCACCTCCTGGATGAATATGGTGGAACAGAACTTTGTTCTCCACCAGCTTGTGCCCTTTCCAAATGTTTGAGCATAGCTCTCAGCTAAAAAAATAATCATCACATAAGTTAACATGTATTTGAGAGAAAATATATTTAGAAATGCATATTCAAATAAGTGTTTGTGTGTATTTTTGTGTATTTGAGAAGACTAGAGTAATGCAGAAATGGAACAGACAGGGACAAAATCATGCAAAAATGAAAGTGGAAATACAGTCATACCTCATGTTACGTTTGCTTCAGGTTGCGCGTTTTCAGGTTGCGTCCCGCGGCAACCCAGAAGTACTGGAAAGGGTTACTTCCAGGTTTCGCTGCTCGCACTCGCACAGATGCGCAAGATGACATCATGCACATGCGCAGAAGTGGCAAATCGCAACCCGTGCGTGCACAGACGCAGGTTGCGTTCTTTTCAGTTGCGAACAGGCCTCCAGAACGGATCCTGTTCGCAACCAGAGGTACCACTGTAAACTGATTCATCAATCTATAGCACTTTTTGTGATCATTTTCTCCCTCTTACAGCTTGGTGTAAAGAAAAAGAAGTACATGCCTTATAATCACCAGCATAAATACTTCTTTATCCGTGAGTATAATTTCTTTTCTGCAATGGCTTTTTGGATAGCTTCAGAAATGGTTTTAGGCAAATTTATGGACGGCAAGGCTGTGTGCTATGTCCAGTACTAGAGGCCGTATGTCTGCCAGTTTCTGGGGAGCGCAAGTGGGGAGCAGCTGTTGCACTAATATCCTGTTTGCAGGTTTCCCACTGGCATTTGGGTGGCGACTATGAGAACAGGATGCTGGACTAGGTGGCCCCTTGGTCTGATCCAGCACAGCTCTTCTTAGGATCTTACCACATGATTTTTTATCAGAAGTCCACAAAAGCTGCCATCTCACAAGAAGTTTTAGTAGTTTGCTTTCCTGTAGGTATCTAAGCTAGTCATCTGCAGAATGCAGAATCGAGGAACAAACCTTGCAGTAGAAAAGAAGGTTTTTGTGCTTGGTCACTTGTAGGTGATTCTTACTTTCCATAGGTGACCCAGGGAGTGAAATTTATTACAACTGAGCCAAAGTATTGCTCACAAGGGGGGAAAACTTGCAAAATGTAGAGTTCCCCCTCAGTGCCTTATTATTATTTTTTTAGTTTCTTCTGTGGTTGTTTGCCATTATAATGATTAATTTTGCTTCCAGTGTTTCCCAATAGGGTGGGAGATGCTTTCTGTCTTTCTGTCTTGTGCTACAAGACTATCCCAACACGGCCGATGCTAGCTCTTATTTATTTATCTATCTATCTATCCGCCTATTATTTTAAAAGGTGTATCTTACCCGTCAGTATTTCTGCTTCCAGAATGGTTATTGGGTAATAAAACGTAGTTTAAAACAATTAAAGTACCATATTAAAAGCAAAGAGAAAAAAACACAGAATAAAGAGGCAGTAGAAGATAGGGACGCAGGTGGCACTGTGGGTTAAACCACAGAGCCTAGGACTTGCTGATCGGAAGGTCGCGGTTCGAATCCCTGTGACGGGGTGAGCTCCCGTTGCTCAGTCCCTGCTCCTGTCAACCTAGCAGTTCGAAAGCACATCAAAGTGCAAGTAGATAAATAGGTAGCGCTCTGGTGGGAAGGTAAACAGCGTTTCCGTGCACTGCTCTGGTTCGCCAGAAGGCTTAGTCATGCTGGCCACATGACCTGTACGCCGGCTCCCTCGACCAATAAAGCGAGATGAGCACCACAACCCCAGAGTCGGTCACGACTGGACCTAATGGTCAGGGGTCCCTTTACCTTTACCCTTTTAGAAGATTAAAGATAATAGGAACATCAGAAATAATACAATTTCAGACTATGAGGCAGAAGGAAAACTTGGGAAAATAAAAATGCATTCACCTGGTAACAAAAAGCAGCAAGAGTGGGTACGTGTCAAACCTCTTGGAGGAAACTGTGCTGTCAGGAGGGGTTCCACAACTGAAAAGCCTGTTTCTCCTACCCTATTCAAGATTGCAGGGGCACCTAGAGAATATGAGCTGAGTAGGTTTGTGTGGAGAAGATGGGCCACTCATTTCTTTTGAGCCAACTAAGAATGTTTCTCTGAATTCTTCCCTAGTTGGACCACCAGCTCTGGTGCCTTTCTACCTGCAGTGGTACATCTTCTACTTTGTTGTCCAGCGCAAACAATGGGCGGTGAGTATGCCTGAGCCCAGCTTCCCCAGATCAGCTGCCCTGGCATCAACGGAACAGACTTGTTCCATGAGAGCTAGGAGCTCTTTGCACCAGACGTTTGTCAATGGGACACTCTGTAGGACTCTACATATCTCTCACACCCATACTTGGTTTCCCTGTTTCCCCCCAAAAATACTGTCTTTCAGTCTGAAAAAGAAGAAGGCAAAACTATGGATTTGGTTTGTAAACTTGCTGTAGAGAGGGGAGATTTTTAGCACATAGCCATGTCGCTAAACTCACACAAGTCGCTTAGCTTACCTGCTTTCTGTTTTCCTAGCCTCTTTGTCGCTGAGGCTGCAACACTGCACTTTCATTCTTTAAAAAATAAATGAACTGGAACTGATGACTTAAAGCTACTCTTCAGTGTTTATGCTAACATTTCCTCTACACTGGGCCGTTCTCAGTTTAGGTTTTTCCTCTTTCTAAATTAGTTTGCCGCTAGGTTTTTCCGGTTAAAGTTTAACCTCAGACAGTCAATTGCTACATTAGAGCTGAAGAACTGCGATTTCGCAACAGAATGACCTCTTCAAGAGTTATGGTTCAGTTCCTGAGATGCAGTGCCCCTTTTCAGCTCCAGGTTATAGATTTATATAAATGGATATTACCTGATCACAGAGATGGGCTCCCTTGAAATCCAGCCCTATTAAAACCTATTATTGCAGTAGTTATCACAAGGGTGAGCAAATCAGAGGTGTGGATTGCACAATCTTAAAGGGTGGGCAATGGTATCAGGGGAATGGCGAAGAAGAGTTGAATTGTCCAAAGGACACAGTTCGTTGGGTAGTATAGAAATGCCTAAATAAATATAAATTAAGGGGAAATAGTTAGGATCCTCTGGGAGCCAAAGAGTATGACCTGCTTTAAGCCTGGCTAAGCTTGCACTTTTCTAAACTTACACTTTATTACTATTGCTATTATCATTTTTTAAATTTATTTACCACACTCCATCTGAAGATCACCCCGGCAGTTTACAACATAAAAACACAAAATTCATAAAATGATAGCACAAAACAAAACCCCAACATATTTAAGAGGCCATAGAGTGTTTAATTAGCAAAAGGCCTAGTTGAAAAGGAACATTTTCGCCTGTTGCCTAAAGATATGTAATGAAGGCGCCAGGCAAACCTCCCCAGGGAGAGCGTTCCACAAATGGGGAGCCACTGCAGAAAAGGCCCATTCTCATGTTGCCACGCTCTGGACCTCTCATGGAGGAGACACATGAAGCCTTAGACGATGATCGCAGGGCCTAGGTCAGTTTGTATGGGGAGAGCCAATGCTTGAGGTATTTGGGTCCTGAGCCATTTAAGGCTTTATAGGTCAAATTCAACACTCTGAATTGGGCCTGGGTGGGCAGAAAGAGGGCAGGATGTGGGGAGTGAAAGATTAGATGAGGAATAACAGGAATTCGTATAAGAAACTTCCTGACCGAGACAGGTTTAAGCATGTGGACACTTAAAATAGCTTTGGGAGGTATCTGGACTGTTACCTTTGCAATATATCAGACTGAGGGCGAGCACAGGTTTAGTGATAGGAGACGGCATAGGTGGCCTCTGAGACTGGTGCCCTACATGAGTAAATTGGTGGGGCAGGTCTGCAGCACTATGACATGGCCTTCTGCAGAGCATTCATCCTTTCCTTTGCGACAGGATCTGGCCTGGATGGTGACTTTCTACATCCGTTTCTTTTTGACTTACTCATACCTACTGGAACTGAAGGGTCTCCTTGGTCTCTTCTTTCTGCTCAGGTGAGTTTTATTTGGATCCATACCCTCACCATAACTGATTATTTGGGGTTACCATATAGTCTCTGCAAGTCAAAGACATTTGTTTGCACTGCAGTGCCACATTCTGGCATGGTCAAAAAACAGAACTTTTCCAGGATATTGAGCCATGCATTGAGAAGGGCCCCATAGTGTGTGCGCAAACATGCATGCACACTGTGTTTCTGCATGCACAGATGCATTGAACCTTCCCCAGGGTCACAGCAGTCTGGGCTCTACCTATCCACATCCCTCTGCCCACCATAGCAGCAGGTATTTTGTTCCTGCAATACTAACTTGAAGTAGCCACCCCTCCCAGAGCCTGCTCTCACAGTCAGTTAGATTGCACTCACAAGCTTGCACCAGAAGAATGGATCCCACTGCCATACGCCAGCCATAAATGAGGTTTAAGATTTACTGATTTGTATCGACTAATGTTGAACATACTTTCTAAAACAACAGCAACAAAACCCCTTTCTCGCTAGGAGAAAACGATATAGTTTTAATCTTCACCCTTCCTCTACATCTTTTCTCACCTGATTAGTTTCCCTTTGCTTGGTGTGGTTTTCATATTGTTTGGATTGCGGCTCTCTACTCCCCATCAAGGGGTGTGTGTTGTTGTTTTTTAAAAAACCAAACGGTTTCAGTCAAGTATTGGTGCTTTTCAATAGGTTCAATACAGAGGCAAGTCTTCCCTCTGCAGAAGCTCAGTCCTCGCAAAAAACTCTTAATTATTGGCTCTAAATTTAAATCCACCCTTATTGCCCTTATTGACACAAGACCCCCATAAAAGTGTGTGGTTTAAAATTGTGCACCAAAAACTCCTATCCTGCGGACTCCACCCACATCAGCGTCTCATGACGGGCTTTATTAAAGCAAAAAGGCTAATTGGACAGCGTCTGAAGGACTTAGAGCAGCAGAACAATCTGGCCATTATAAAGAAATTCTGTCCTTGGTATGCCTTTTCCCCCCTTCTCAGTTTGATTCCCTGGCACCATATTTGTATAAATTAACTATCTCAAAATACAGGCGTGCCTTCACACTGGCCAGATTGGATGTGATGCCCTCTGCCATACTTGAGGGCAGATACCAAAAGATTCCAACTGAGAAATGACTCTGCCCCTGTGGAGATGGTAATCTGGAAACAGTGGCTCATGTTCTCCTGTCCTGTCCCCTTTATAAAGATCTGAGGAATGAGATCATTACCCCACTCTTGCGTACCATCCCAGGCCACCCATCTGAGGCCATGTTGTTCTTTCTTTTATCAGATCAAAATGATCAGACAACAGCAAAGGTTGCTAGGTTTATCAAGGGTGCAATGAGATTAAGGGCCACTATCTGAATGATAATCTTGGTCATTTGATTGCCCTTTTTACCCATTGCTGTTTTTTTTTATTTGTATATATTTTATTTGTATATATTGCTTCTTTTATGTTGCTATGGCTGTTGGCTAATGCGAATAAAGTTTATCTTACCTTATCTTATCAATAGGTTGTGTGGGTTTGGTTGGATGGAAACACAATAATTTACTTCTGTGCTTTGTGCAGATTTATAGAGAGTCACTGGTTTGTCTGGGTGACACAAATGAACCACATCCCAATGAACATTGATTATGACAAGAATGTGGACTGGCTTTCAACCCAGGTAATGTGCACGATTCCAGCAGTTATGATCATGAATATGAGACTTATACAGGAGGTGTCTTATCTTAGGAGCTGAAGTATAATTGAGTGACTGGAAGGGTTGGGTGTAACTGTATGTAAGAACTAATTGTGGAATACCAATAATGGGTTGGGGTGAAAGAGGACAGACCGTGGGAGTAAAAGAAGATTAGAAAAGGAATAACATGAATGCTTGCAAGTGTCTTCTTGATCCAGAACTTTTATACCTCTTGTGTAAACACATGGAACTCCCATCAATTACTGCTGCTTGAAGGCCCCATCAGGTTGAGTCCCATGTCCAGTGAAACCCTAATCCATCCTTCCTACCGCTCTCATTGCATTCATTTTTTTGAATTAATGTGCACATGGGATTTTGTCATGGGTGGGTGGGGTGGCTGCTCACATGCTCCACATTTGGGCCCCAGAAGTCAGGCAATAATGGTGTTACTCTCTGTGGTTGACATGGGAACTGGGAAGGCACCGAATTTTGCACTCTATAAGGCGCACCCGACCATAAGATGCACCTAGTTTTAGAGGAGGAGAACAAGAAAAAAAATATTCTCTCCCTCTCTGCGCAGCGTCTCTCCAGCAAAGCGGGAGCAGAAACGGAAGGGGCTCTGTTTCTCCTCCCGCTTTACTGAAGAGGCGCTGTGCAGCTTTCCCTCTCTGCGCAGCGCCTCTCCAGCGAAGCGAAGTCAGAACAGCAAGAGGGATCATTGCGCAGCGAAAGCAGCAATCCCGCTTACTGTTCTGGCTTCTGGGATAGCCATGCCAAGCCTCTTCAGGGCAGGGGGAGCGTTCCTCCCATTGCCCTGAAGAGGGTTCGCTGAAGTCAGGAGAACGGAAAGCCTCCTGAGCGCAGCGGGAGGAGCGCTCCTGAGGCTTTGCGTGGCTGTCCCTGAAGCCAGGAGAGAGAGAGGGATCAGTGCGCACCGATCCCTCTCCCTCTCCTGGCTTCAGGGATAGCTGTGCAGCCTGCATTCGCTCCATAAGACGCACACACATTTCCCCTTTTTAGGAGGGGAAAGGTGTGTCTTATAGAGTGAAAAATACGGTATATGAGGTGTTGAAGTTTTTTGCCAGCGTTCACACAGGCATATATTGTACAGCCCTGCGGTCAAGTGGGCCCATGTGGGGCAAGGCGATCTCATAGGTAAACTGCTCCCAGTTGTTAGGTCCAGCTATTTATTATTGTTGTTCTTATTCTAAGGACTAGGATGGGGAAGATGAGGGTATGCCACAGTTCATTGGGGTGTCTAGCTAGAACTGAAACATGAATATCCTCATGTGGTGCCTTTTAAATATATTTTCTCTCTCTCCAGCTCCAGGCAACATGCAACGTAGACCAGTCCCTGTTCAACGACTGGTTCAGTGGGCATCTCAACTTCCAAATTGAGCACCAGTGAGTATATTCTTCTTTTTTTCACCAGTTGGAAGGTGTCTTGAGGTTATCAACTAATATGAAGCCTAGAAAAAGAATGGGATCTATTTCCCCTAGAGGCTTATTTCATGCTGTAGTAGTGAGTGACCTTGTAGGGGGCTGAACAGGATGGAGGCCTCATGAGAAACCTAACAATTCAAGAGCCTGGAGTCCTTTATGGTATACATGTGATTCAGTCATGTGGACAACTGAGCTTGTAGGGCTTCACGTGCTGCTGCTGAAGCATCACGTGGGTAGGCTTTTGGGTATACAGTGGTACCTCGGGTTACGAACTTAATTCGTTCTGGAGGTCCGTTCTTAACTTGAAAACGTTCTTAACCTGAGGTACCACTTTAGCGGATGGGGCCTCTTGCTGCCGCCACACCGCTGCCGCATGATTTCTGTTCTTATCCTGGGGCAAAGTTCGTAACCTGAAGTACTACTTCCGGGTTAGTGGACTTTGTATCCTGTAGTGTTTGTAACCCGAGGTACCACTGTAATGAGGAAGCAGAGCTGGACAAGGGATATTACGAAGTTGAATTCCTGTGTGAAAACAGCCTTGGACCAGGGAGGCACCCAGGACATGATAAGCTTAAGCTGGCAATGCAAGAGGACCCAATGCTATGATTATAATTTTAGGATAAGGCCCTCTGCAACAGTTGTTTACTGAAGAAATCATTAAGCTTGTAAGTGATTATTTGGCTCGGGCAAGCTTCACAAAGAAGTATTGCACACACTAATGAGATTTTGGGAGGAAGAAGAAGGCTCTCTAGAGCTCTGAGGAAGCCATGAGATCTGGCAGCTGCCTCTCTCCCTCTCTCCACAGCCTTTTCCCCACCATGCCTCGACACAACTTCCACAAGGTGACCCCCTTGGTGAAGTCCCTATGCGCAAAGCACGGCATCGAGTACCAGTCCAAGCCTCTGCTCACAGCCTTTGCAGACATTGTACAGTAAGTATCAGTGAATGTGAAAGCACCAGTACCCCCTGCAAGTTCCAGGAGAAAGGATAGCTCCCCCGCGGGGGGAGAGACATCAGACCGACATCTTGTGAAAGGGCACAAAAAGAAAAGGGAAGGGGGGCGGAATAATATGGGACCGCCAGTCTCCATCCATTGCTTCCAATAATGCAAACAGATAGCTGGGAAGAATGCCCTGAGGAAACAATATTTGTTAACGTTCAGAGTTTTCAGCACTCTCTTAATTGTTCTAAAAATCATACTCAGGGCTGCATACATTCTGCTTGCCCTCCTCCTAAAAACACATCAAAACTTTGTGCGAAGGAATCGGAACATTTCTGAGCCAAGTTTATGCAAAGTAGATGCACACACATAAGTCAGGGATGGGAAATGTGTCACCCAGCAGAAGACTCTCATCAGGCTCTGCCAGAAGCAGCCAATAGAAATAGATACTGGAAACCACTGGAATCTAATGCCGTTGTTAAAAAGCAGCTTGAACGCAGGTTGGGGGAGTTTGAAAATGTTGGCACTGCCCGTGTTTTGGTTGTCCCCCTTCAAATATTCCTATCTGACCATAAGGCTTAGAAACAACAACACAGAGCTTAGTGCATGATTAGAGCATAACTCCTGCGCAGTATGCAAGGAGGTCTGTAGAATATGCACATCCCAGAAAAATGGACAGCCTTCATTGAATGAGCACAGAGTAGGTGGAAAGCTAATTGGGAAGGCTGTTGATATTAATGTTAATCTATGTACATAGTTTAAGTCTCTTTGAGTTTGCTTTTAATAAAAAAGCTAATAGTCAATTTAATAATAATAATAATAATAGCTAGTGAAAGTAGTTTGCCTGAGCTTTTGCAAGAGCATGGTGGCAAAGTCGAAACAAGCATTTGTGGATTCTGAGCTCTGTGGGTTAGTTCACACATACCTACTGCATCTCTTGACTGCTTGGCTCCTCAAAACTTGCAGACAAAGTGTGCAGACTGAGCCCACTGAAAAGAACTGCTCTGAGATGACTTGAAAGTTCTGTCCTGTCTCACCTGGAATGGCTCATTCGTACAGATTTGCTGCAGCAATCAGGTGGTGAGCCTGCATGTGTGAACCAGCCCTGTGGCTCTCTCCATGAGAGGGTGCTGCATCCTTCCTTGTGCTTTTAATGCCACCCCCCCCCACTTGCTGCTCTATTACGGGTTTTTTCTTATCGTAACATGCTCACTCAATGACTATAGTGCCCTGAGAATTCCTGGCTCAATATCAAATCTCTTTTTCTGGTTTGTTTCTTCATGTTTCCTGACTTGACCCTTTTTATCCTCGTTCCAGTTCTCTGAAGGATTCAGGAGAGCTCTGGCTCGATGCGTACTTGCATCAGTAAGAAGCAGCTGACATCGCTCACCCTTGCTGCCTCCTGCCATTGGCATCTTGAAGAGCGCAGAGGCCTGGCTTAATCAACCGCGGGCAGCTGGCTGAGCTGAATGCTGGGACTGAGTATGATGTTTCAAGAAGTCTTGTTCCTTCCTCTTCACTCATGCACCTCACTCTCCTTCTTTCTGCTCTTGGAAGATACTGCAACCTTTCCAGATGTGCACGTTCACCAGGGAGAACTCTTCAGGACCAGGAAACGATGCTCATTTCTTTGCCGCCATTTCACTTGCTTTGTATGTAGAAGGGAAATCTTACTTAGGGATCTCTTAAGGCTTCTGTCGCCCTGGGGTTGAGCTTGCCTGGCTCCCTCCTAGAGTAAACAAGGACCGAGGATGTGGATGTAGTCTGATGAGCAAGGTGGAGAGGAGAAAGCTTAGGGAAGGAGAAGAAAATGCAGGATCTGAGGAGCTGTTGGTAGAAAGATTAGGACACGAAAGCTTGAAGTTGGGAAATGAGGCATAACCAGGATTAGAGAAGACAACAGATGCCAAACTACTGTGCAGGTGATTGTGAGTAGAGAGCAGCCAAATACTGATACAGGCACACATTCCAGGGCCAGGCTAGAGAATGGCCAGCCTATCTTAACTACAGAAAGCAGTCTGGGCTAGGCTTTTTGAGCTCAGGAGTCCAAGACATTCCTGGGTGTACTTTTCACAAAGACAAAAACGTGCCTTAATTACAGACGTGGCACTACTACCACTCCACAGGGCCATATTTTGAAAGGGGGATAATGAATGTCTGGTCTGGCTACTGCTCAAACTTCCAGAGGCAAATTGGGAGTACGAAGATGCCCAAGTCTCTCAGCTTAGCTACTGATATGCCTCAAGAACAAATAGTATATACTTTCGCACAACTGGAACTGCACTCTTTCTGTATTGCTCAGTTGCTAAGGGCTGTTTCTAGATCACATACCTGATTACACTAATTCTGTTCTACAAATAGGACTAAACCTCTGGGGTGTTTGCTGCTACAACAGAGGGGGTGACAGCAACTAAAGCACAAGTCCCGAGCAGTCATTCTCAAAGTTGTCATAGTCTTTCCTTCTCTCTAAATCAGCCTTTCTCAACCTGTGGGTCCCCAGATGTTGTTGAACTGCAACTCCCATCACCCCTAGTTAGCAAGGCCAGAGCTCAGGGATGATGGGAGTTGTAGTCCAACAACATCTGAGGACCCACAGGTTGAGAACCTCTGCAATTGAGAATGAGGGGAAGAAGAGTTTGAATTTTCTCATGCTTATTTCACCTGGTGTCTGATTAGAAGAGTTTGGATTTGATATCCCGCTTTATCACTACCCTAAGGAGTCTCAAAAGGGGCGCGGGTGGCGCTGTGGGTAAAACCTCAGCACCTAGGACTTGCCAATCGCATGGTGAGCTCCCATCGTTCGGTCCCAGCTCCTGCCCACCTAGCAGTTCGAAAGCACCCTTAAGTGCAAGTAGATAAATAGGTACCGCTTTATAGCGGGAAGGTAAACGGCATTTCCGTGTGCTGCTCTGGTGCCGGTTCGCCAGAGCAGCTTCGTCACACTGGCCACGTGACCCAGAAGTGTCTGCGGACAGCGCTGGCTCCCGGCCTCTAGAGTGAGATGAGCGCACAACCCTAGAGTCTGTCAAGACTGGCCCGTACGGGCAGGGGTACCTTTACCTTTAAGGAGTCTCAAAGTGGCTAACATTCTCCTTTCCCTTCCTCCCCCACAACAAACACTCTGTGAGGTGAGTGGGGCTGAGAGACTTCAGAGAAGTGGGACTAGCCCAAGGTCACCCAGCAGCTGCATGTGGAGGAGTGGAGACGCGAACCTGGTTCCCCAGATTACGAGACTACCGTTCTTAACCACTACACCACACAGGCTCTCTTAGTTGTGCAATTAGTTTTTATGGGGGGAAAGTCACCATGAGGTGTCTGTAATTCCTTCATGGCTTCTTATTCACACAGATGTCTTCCCTTATGGTGAAACTGGGATGCATAGCCTTGGGGCATTTTGGCTACTGAAAACAAATGGCACTTCATTGGTCCCCCCCCCCCCAGACAATTTGAGTGTCATCAACTTTCTCTAACAGCTAAGAGATGCATCTGCTGGATCATTCTGTTCTTCCTGTTCCAAAGGCAGATAGTAGGAAGGTTCACGCCCAAGTTGCTGCCTTGGGCTTCTCCAGGAGGAAGGGCGGGATATAAATAGAATAAATATAAATAATAAGAAATAATAAAGTGAGACTTTGATTCTCCGAAGGAGAGACCATATGGAAATGCATCTCCCCACAAAATGGGTTTTGCCGTGCAGTTCAGTGATTGGGTGTACACAGTGCCATTTTCTAAAAAGAGGTGCCAGAACTCACCATGACCACCTCCCTTGTTCTCTTATAATGGCAATGGCAGCCACCTTAGAGGTGCCAGAACTGAGTTCCAGTGAGTTCTGGCTGGGAAAAAAAAGCCCTGGGTTTATATGCATAGCAGTGATTAGGAGAGAGGGACCTAAGCTGAGAAGTAGACCAGAAATCCATTCATAATGAAAATCTGTTAGAATGGAGTTGCCAAACCTCCCAGCGACTGGGTATTAGTTTTCCATATGAATGCCTGGTGGTTTGAGACAAGACCCATAGCTCTAGACAGGAGTTGTCACCCACTTATAAGCTTTAAAGCTTTAACATTCCAGTCCAGAGGGAAGGGTGATGCAGCCTTCAAAACAAGCCAGTATATCACCTCTGGTTCTTTCTTGTATAATGTGCCTCTTAGGAATGCTTTTGGGGGAAAAGCATGCTGCCTTGGATTGCCACCATAGCCTTATGTTGCCATTTGAAAGAATCTGTAGAACACGAAAAAGCACACCTGCCAAATTAGACATGTGGGGTTGCTCCTGGCATTATGTTCCTTTGAAAATGAAGCCCTAGCATTGAAGCATCTTTCTTTTCTCAACCTCTAGTCTTTCCTTCCGTGAGTTGATGCCAACCTTTCTTCTTCCAATCTTCACTATCTGCTGATTTTATATAAGCAGCATGTGATGGTTTCCTTCCTTCCTTCCTTCCTTCCTTCCTTCCTTCCTTCCTTCCTTCCTTCCTTCCTTCCTTCCTTCCTGTAAACCTTTCCTGATTGCACATGTTGCCATCTGCCAAAAACTGCCAATGACACCAAACTAGATGTGGTGGTGGAGAACCAGGACTGGATCATCAGTTTCTTTAAATTTTGACAAATAGGAGCTGCAGGTGTTTGTGTCCAAAATCTAAATGGGGGTCCACCCTTCACTCCAGTTGCTATTTGCCATTAGAGAAAAGGTAAATGTGCACAGGCTGCACCCATAAAGGGGCAATAAAAGCAACTGGAATGGCTTAATTCAGTGGGAAAATAGCACAAGTATTAACTTTTCAGGTAGTTGGCTGCTATTTGTCAGTTTTTAAGAGGCATATCTCTGATGCCTTGTCTAGTTTGGCCCTGCTTATTATAGAAGTGCCCTTTGCTGGGTTGTGGCATAGGATAAAAAACGCCACTACCCCTGCGCTTATTATTAAGAGAGGATGGAAAGGCTGGAGGCAGAGGAGTGTTTGTCTCCCCCATGGATGAAAACTCTGGACATACAGTATTCTCTTGCGTGTGAATTTTTTGATGGGGATAACCATACTGTAAAAAAACAAAGAAATCATAGTGTGAGTGTTGAATAAATAAGAGTAGGTGACGCAAACAGTGTGTGCATCTTTTTATCTTTTCCACCGTTCTGTTCATTTTCCTTCTTCTCTTGCTTCATACCATACACCCTGCTCCCCAACAAACACATACGTTCATTGAGTGTGTGAGGAGGTAGGGCGATTGTGTCCATGGCCATGATCCTTTGGCAGACATACATGCATCACTAGCAAGAAAGGGCTCCTTTCTGTGGATGGCTTTGCCACCCACCAGTCCTTCTGACCTGAGCAGGCTCTCTGAGAAGTTTGGAAAGCAGTATTTTCTGATGTTCACATTTGGAATGGCATGATACCATGGGCGGAACTGGAATTCAACATATCACTAAGTGCACACGGGGAACAAGGTCTGCTGATGCAATGGGACTTTCCCCCTTCTACCCCTGTGCACTCCTTGAAACTGTTCTGTGGTCCCCCCCCCAACCATCTAGAGCAGATTTAGGGGTCGTGGGGGCACACATGGGGGGAAGAGAGAGAGGAAAGCCCTATTGTATGAGCAGACCTTATTGCACGCATGCAGCAACTTAGTTAAATCCCATCCCACTCAAGTTTCATGTGGGTTTGAAGCTTGTTTGTTTGTTTGTTTGTTTGTTGAGGTGTCCACACAACACCCTCCTCATCTTAGTGGCAGCCTGCAGTTTCCCTCTGCTAAATTTTGATTTTCCCAATTGTAGGATAATCTGATAAAGGAATAAAATCTAATATAAAATTGCATGTCACCTGACTGGACACACTAAAGTGCATTGCATGGGTGTGTTTTCCTAATAAACACGTGTCCAAAAAGAGGTCACGGACACCATGTGATTTATTGCTGACCTGCTCCTGACACATGCAGAGCTATGCATGTGAGAAGGGATTTATGGTGCCCCTGATGGTATCTGGGGTGGAGATTGGTCAAGAGGCAGCTATCTTTCACTTGTGCCAGCCTACAGAACATACTGTTTGCAACAAAGCACATGCTCCAGGCAACACCCTGGTTTATAGATGTCCAGAGATATAAAACCTGATGTGTATGTGTGGGTGGGGAGTGCCATAGTTTCTCAGACCCACAGATGATTTTCCTTTTCCACACTCTTGGGCTGCTTTGCAACACAGAGTGATGTATTCTGCTAGATGATGATTAGGTGTAACACAAATCAATTGCAAATTTAAGAGGATGGGTGTGCAGTGCAACACATTTGATAATACTGAGTATAGGTGTAGCATAAAATAGCCCCAAGATTTCTCTGCAAGAAGAGTTGTCTTAGTCAACTGCTGCTCTAAAAGGTAAAGGACCCCTGACAGTTAAGTCCAGTCGTGAACGACTCAGGTTGCGGCACTCATCTCGCTTTACTGGCTGAGGGAGCTGGCATTTGTCCACAGACAGTTTTTCCGGGTCATGTGGATAGCATGACTAAGGTGCTTCTGGTGAACCAGAGCAGTGCACAGAAACACTGTTTACCTTCCCACCGGAGCGGTACCTATTTATCTACTTGCACTTTGATGTGCTTTCGAACTGCTAGGTTGGCAGGAGCTGGGACTGAGCAATGGGAGCTCACCCCATCGCGGAGATTCAAACCGCTGACCTTCTGATCGGCAAGCCCTAGGCTCAGTGGTTTAGACCACATCACCCATGTCCCTAACTGCTACTCTAGCTGAGGCAAAAGATGTCTACATATTTCCTTAGAGGAACAGCTGCAGGAACCTTCCACTTTGAAATCTTGAAATCAACTATATGAATGCTGTTGCTGCTATTTATTTATATATCAACATCATACTCAAACCATCCAAGTCCCAAAGGTGAACCATTCTCCAACAGAATGCAAAGGGGACAGTGCTGAATAAATGTCCTCTGCAGCGTCCACATTTATTTGTATATTTCAATCTTTCTACCATTTAACACAAGACAGGGTACATAGAGATCTCAAGCCCTCTCCCATCCAGGCTCTGACCATATCCAGACATAATAATAATAATAATAATAATAATAATAATAATAATAATGCCCCGCCCACTCTGGGCGGCTTCCAACAAAATATTAAAATACAATAGTGCATCAAACATTAAAAGCTGCCCTAAACAGGGCTGTCTTCTAAAAGTCTGGTAGTTGTTTTTTTCTTTGACATCTGATGGGAGGGCATTCCATAGGTTGGGTGCCACTAGGGTGAGAAGGCTCTCTGCCTGGTTCCCTGTAACTTGGCTTCTCGCAGTGAGGGAATCGCCAGAAGGCCCTCAGCGCTGGACCTCAGTGTCCGGGCGGAACGATGGGAGTGGAGACGCTCCTTCAGGTATACTGGACCGAGGCCGTTTAGGGCTTTAAAGGTCAGCACCAACACTTTGAATTGTGCCCAGAAACGTACTGGGAGCCAATGT